TCACAAGCAGCAGAGTTTGTCAGGAGCCCCTTACACCTCCACCCCTCATGGCATTTCCAGGGCTTCTTTCATTTCTCTTCTTCCTTGCCACTTCTCATTCCTCCTTCTTAAACTTGTTCTGGCACGAGAAGCAAGTGCATTTTGCCTTTTCTTTGGTCTGAAAGGAAACTTTCTCTCCTGGTTTCTAACTGGGGTGTGTGATAGTTCCCTGTTCTCTACTCAGGGGCGCCCCCTTGTGGTTCTCGGGGGACAATGTAGTGCCAGGAATCAAACCACGGTCAGCCAAACCAGGCTAGCACCTAAACCCCAGTACTATTTACTTCCCTCTTTTAAAAGGGTACCTGAAAATTAAATGAAATGACCCATTAGTTATCCAAGGATAACTCAGTCCATATTTCTTTCTTTGTGCTAGGCACCTATGACAGAGGACAAAAGACTTTCCACCCAGAAACCGAGGCAGTGTGCCCTAATGCCTTGAACAAAAGGTTCCAGAAACTTTGGTCAAGGAGTTGCCTGGGATGTGAAAACTATTTGATGAGAGGGAAGGTTCAATTTCTCTTTATTCTAGTACATACTTGCCAAACATTCTGCGTGCCCAAGAGGTGGCATGGCCTATGGCTCTCACTTTGGACAAACCTACCATCGTGCTGACAGCAGTCTTCTGCTCAGAAAAAAGAGTCTCTTCACCAAAGTTTCCATTCAATGTGGAACAAAAGGAGAGGACCCCTTTGCACACATGACCCACATGGAAATGTTATGGCTGGGTGATCTCCCCTGGAGGGCTCCCAGTAACTCTTCCTTGGGTTGTGGGGGAAGGGGATTCCCTTTGCTTTCTTTCCATGATTTGCTTGGGCGGGTATCAAAGCAGCATTAATTGGAAACCACTGTAAGTCAAAACCAGCCTTTCACACCCAATTGCCAAGTCCTGAACTTTCCTCCTTTATCATTAAGGTTCTTTTTATGCTTAATAGGAAGTCCTATGACATTTCAAAAACCAGGAAAACACATCAATTAACAAAAGAATACAAAACCTAACCTGTAATTGGAATGATACAGAAGAGTACTGCTAAGAACTTTCCACAACTTCTGAGGCCAAACTCCGCTTCCCACCACCCGCCCCCTCCCCCGCACTGCCCCCTTCCAGAGACCAGCCCAGGTCATTTCTCTACTGTCACCTCTGCCTGCAACAGCTTCTTTGTCCTTCTTCAGCGCTTGCATTTATGATGTTTCACTCAAGGAAGGCCCACCTCCAAAGTTCTTTTTTTCCCCAAGACTTTTCTTGAATTTGGTGTGGAGATTTTCTCTCCGTCCCAGGAATCAGGCTAGCAGAATTTGAACATTGCCTGGCTTGGGCCTTCACTCACCCCTTTCGAAACTCATTTATTTGGGTATCTGTCTCCTTTGCTAGGCTGCAAGCTCCTATTCATCAAAGCCTAATCCTTCCACAATGCTTAGCATAGAAGGAGTATTGACAAACAGGGAAAGGAGGAGAGTCCTTGGACCAGACCCGAAACACGCTTGATTCACTCAAGACATACTTTGTTGTTTTGTTCAGAGCAGGGAAGACACCAGTAAGCTTACAAAGCCGCTTAGCCAATGGGGAGCAGCAGTCTGAGAAGGGGTGGGAGAAAGCATTGATTTCGGGGCAGGGAGAAAGATCAGCTTTTGTTCTTTTCTTTAGGGGTCATTTACTAGTGTCACTTAATCCACTGCCCTTTATGACCAAGTCAGAAGGGAAGGCGGAGACAGGGAGGGCAAGGCAGGGGAAGGCTGGAATGCAAAGCTGTAATTTCCCCAGGCGAAAGGGATTGAGTGACCCCAGGTTAACGTGATCCTGGGTTATTAATATGTCCCAGGTTCGCGTTTCAGCCAGCTATCTGGGATACTGACCTTGGATGGACGATAACCCTAAAGACTGAGGGATTTCGAAATGGCAAAGATGGTGCTGGTATATGTCACCCAACTTCATGGGGCAATAGGGAGACCAACGACAAGGAAGGTTGGATCATCAGGAAGAAAAGAGACATTCAAGAGGGCAAAAGAGAGCCTGACATCTGATGCTGAAAATAGCACAGCAGGCAGGGCTGGGAAGACCTTATTCCTTCTCATCTAATTGTGCTCCTTGCTCCTCTTGTCTGCCCCTCACTGTATAGTGACAGCTATTTCCCATTCTCAGCCCCGCAAGGAACAGTGGGCTCACAAACACCCAGTTATGTCTCTAAATCGCCTTTACATGGAGGCAGCTATTTTTTAAAGTTTTGTTGTGTGCTGCAAACTACCCAGTTGGGGGCAGACCAAACAAACAGATGACTTCAGAAGCCTGGCAATGAAATCCTTACATTCTTTGTGTGTTGTGATTTTAATAAGGCAAAGGGCTTTGCAGCTCATAATCAGATCCAGACAGCTTGCTCACAACTTCCACCAACCGAATGCTACAAAAGGATTCCTTTCCAATTATCATATTTTTAACCACAGAGTATGGAGCTTGCGCATGGGTGTGAAGGGTGCTAGAAAGCCCTCCCACTCCCCCGGGACAATGTGAAATGCTGTTCAGAACATACTGGGAAATGTATAAAAGTACGAACATTCTGCCAAAACAAGCTCTAATCATATCAGATTGGGGGATGCAAGGCTGTGTTTTTAGCAAGTCAGAATATAAGTCCTCAAGACTCTCCTCTTTCCAAGAGGGCTTACAATGACCTCTGCGAGGGAGTGAAAGAACAAGCACTCTCCAGTGGTTTTGTTTTCTCATTCTGCTCAAGGAATAGGGAAGACGAGCCCCATGCTTTGGCATACAAAAAAAGGTGAGCACCACATCATAGGGTGGACCCAGGTTTCCAGTGATCAAAGGAGCCTTCCTTGGCTCCTGCATCCTCAAGTCTACATGTTTTGCAATGATTCGTCCCATCCTTCCTTACTTCACATGGTGAGCACTGATGTCCAAAATGAATCTAAATCTAGTGGTAAATCCAGGTGCCCAGCCAAGAATCCATCTGTCATCCGCCCCCCCCCCCCGGACGAATTAACACCTATAGACCTATAGAGTGTCTTGGAATGGATGCCAAGATAAAAGCCATGGTAATGAGGCTTTGTTCAAGCTCCCACTTACTGAGAAATGTTCCCAGGACGAAAAGTTCATCTCAAAGGGGGGATAGGTTGGGTGGGCTTACTTTACAAAAGTTCCAAAGATGATTGTTTAGGGGCCACACCTAGCTGTGCTTGGGGGCTCCTCCTGGTTTTGTGCTCAGAAGCAACTTCAGGTGATACTTGGGGGACCAGGTGTGCTCTGTGACATGGAAACAGGCTGGCAGGATGCAAGGATGGCTCCTTAACCCCTGTACTATCTCTCTGGGCTACAAATGACATTTTCATGAAAACAAAAAAGTAGTGATAAAAGGGTATTATTACTGAAGTTTTACAAATCTTGACTGCACCCCCTCAGTGTACCCAAAAGGGAGAGAGGGAGTGAGAGAGAGAAAGAGAGAGGAAGGGAGAGAGAAGGAGAGAGGGAGAGAGGGGGTAGGGGAGAGAGGGGGAAAGAGGGAGAGAGGGAGAAAAAAGAGGGAGAGAGGGGGTAGGGAGAGAGGGGGAAAGAGGGAGAGAAGGAGAAAAAAGAAAAGTGTTTGACATTGAGGCAGGTTGAGGGGTAGTGGGATCAAAATTAGGGTCATCAGAGGTGGGAAATGTACACTGGTGGAGGGGTGGGTACTGGAACATTGTGTGACTGAAACCCAATCATGAACAGTTTTGTAACTGTATATCTTATGGTGACTCAATAAAAAATAAACTAAAATCTTGACTGCATGGTTTACTATGACACCATTAAATTTGTCTATCAGGTTCTGCTTTGACTTTGTTGAAATTTGTTGTTCACATGAAGCACAAGAACACAAATCAAGCTTGACATCTATAGGGAGTTAACAATATGAGGGATTCACAGAGCCTCTAACAGGGTGTTTGGAAGTTTTGACTCATACTTTAATACTGCCACTAGTCCATGAGTTTGGAAAGAGCTTTTGGGAAGAAAATGGGCTTTCTGAGAGGATTGTTTAGAAGACAGTATCTCAGGCTGTTCTCCTGCCTTCTCTCACTCTAAACATATTATAAAAGTACCACCATTTCAAATCCCCAGTAGTCAGTGGATATGAACTGAAATCACTGAGACCCAATCAGACATGTTACTCACTTGATCTCTTCATTTTCTATCTTTAAGCCAATATCTCCCAGGCTATTCCAGGTCAACAGGAAGTGGGAACCTGAGTCAATGGTGGGGTTGGCTACCATCCTTTGGAGGAGGATAATTCACCAAGATTTATGTTGGGTTTGCCATCTGATTGCTACCCCTGACTTGGAACCATGAAGCCAGAGTAGGGAAGGAGGCAATGTGAATGGGGGAGGAGGCAGAAGGAAGAGAAAGAAGAAACTTTAATTCCTCATTTGCTGGCTTAGAAACAAAATCCTTCATTTCTTGTTTTATGGGGCAGAGGAATCGAACTCGAGTCGGCTATGTTGGCTGCGTGCAAGGCAAACGCCCTACCACTGTGCTATCGCTCCAGACCCTTGTTTTATAAGAAAGTGAAATATGTTGTATGTGTGTATGTGTGTGTGTGTGTGTCCTGCTAGTTTGTCTCTAGTACATGCAACCCTGATACACCATTCAGAATGGAAAAAGTCACAAACCAAGATATGGAATTTTGAGATCATATTTTAAGCTGAAGAGGTTATGTTGTGTTTAATCAATATCTTGAATAGAGAAGTCCATTACATTCTGTGTGGCTATACTAGACAATTACATATAGCCAATTTACATTTAAATTTGAATTGGCCATAATAAAATATCTTTCACTTCAACATTGACAGAGGATAGAATTGAATTCATCAAGCACCAGACTCAGATGAACTAAATAACAGGTATTTAAGAAGTTTCACTCCAATGATTTTTGACTTGAAAACACAATTTCTAATTGTATGCTGAAACAGAAGGAAAAAAATCCTCTCACCTTCTTCGGCTGGATAAGGTTTCTTCATGTTCTACATGAGCAACTTTTAATACCTTCTTGTCAATAAACAGATCTTCGGGATAATAAGCCGATCTATATTGGCGTTGCTGAGAATAGGCACATAACTTGCCAATCTACAAAAAAAGAGAGAAATGCAATATAATTATGTGGTACCTTCTGAGATATGATAGAAGGAACAAAATTTGAAACACACGTCAATTTCTTTCCCAGTCTCTTTTCAACGAACAGAATAAATTTATGGCAAGAACCTAGAAAAAAGAGAGGAATGTGCTTTTAAGACCAAGGACCATCTATACAAAGCAAGACTAAAGACTGTGGGGATGGGGCACTCTGAGTAAAGACTCTTCAGAGATTTCCAAACAGGGAAAAACTTTTCCCCTGTATTGAAATGTTTATGCGAGAAGCCCTGCCTCATAGGACATAAAGACTATCTTTCAGTGGCCTTTTATTTATACATTGGAGTCTTCACACCTGGGAATCACAAAGTTTAGGAAGAACTGGAACACGATATGAAAAAGCATGTGAGAGATGAAAAGATTCTTCACAGAATAGTCTCCCATGTATAAAGTGATCCCAGTTTTTTGTTTTTGGTTTTTGGTTTTGTTTTGCAGGAAGGATACATTTGGGCCCATAGCTGGCTACGCTTGGAGTCGACTCCTAGCTCTGTGCTCAAGAATCACACTTGGAGCTGGAACAATAGTATAGTGGGTAGGGCATTTGCCTTGCACGCGGCCAACCTGGGTTCGATTCCTAGTGTCCCATATGATTGCCCAAGCACCACCTGGAGTAATTCCTGAGTGCAGAGCCAGGAATAACCCCTGGGCACTGCCGGGTGTGACCCAAAAAGCAAAAAAAAAAAAATCACTCTTGAAGGTACTTGGGGGACCTTCGGCTGTGATGGGAGTCAAACTGGAATCAGCCACCTGCCAGGCAAGCATCTTGCCCTCTGTACTATTGTTTCAACCCCTAGGGACTTGGCACTAGATTTATTGTTTCACTTTGAGCTCATTTAGTCGACAGCAGAGCATAAGCAATATGATCACCCCCCCCCAAATATATTGATGTTTGATGTCTATTTGTTAATACTCTATATCTCAAAAAAGATTAATTTTCAGTGTTCAAAAGCAGGTATGACAAGGTCAAGGTGAGTCTATATATCATATGCTTAATTTTTTAATGGAGCAGTGTTGAGCTACAACCACTGGAACTCAGAATCTCTGCTCTGGAGTGACACCTGGTGAGGCACAGGGGACCACATGTGCTGTCAGATACTGAAATGGGATTGGTCCCATGGAAGGTAAGCATCTTAGTCCCCTAACTATCTTTCTGGTTGCAGTACATTTAATACGTGTTAGGAAAAATACTAACTGTTCTTTGACACTTTGTACTTCAATGATAGACTGCACTGCACTTTGGGCACAGTGACACACTTAGTAAAGGCAAAATAACTGAATTGAATTGAAGGGGAACTGTAGTGTCAAGTCTGACAGCTACTCTACTGAAAGGCCATCATGGACTAGTAGACCAGGTGGATGGGCACCATAAAACTGTTATTATTTTTCATATACAAAGTCACAGAGGGTAGGGCATTTGCTTTGCACGTGGCTGATCTGGGTTTGATTCCTCCATCCCTCTCAGAAAGCCTGGCAAGCTACTGTGAGTATCTTGCCTGCACAGCAGAGCCTGGCAAGCTACCCATGGCATATTCGATATGCCAAAAACAGTAACAACAAGTTTCACAATGGAGACGTTACTGGTGCCCGCTTGAGCAAATTGATGAACAATGGGACAACAGTGTTATAGTACAGTGCTATAGAAAGGCAACACCATATTTCATTTTGTATAGCTTAAGCCTCATCACATTTCTGTCTCTTCTTGGCAGTACCGGGATAAAACCCAGGGCCTGCTATATGCAAGGCAAATGCTTTATTGCTGAATAATATTCCCAGCACACTAGGCTATCTAACTTTGCAAAGTTTTTTATAATGATGAAACTCTTTTTTGGGGGGGGCAAGGGGGTGGTAGGCACACTGGTTGGTACTTAGAGTTCACTCCTGGAGGGCTCGGGGGACCACATGAAGTTCCATGGATGGAACCTGGCACATCTATATGCAATCTGCTGTACTATCAGTCCATTCCCAAAACTAAACTCTTGAATTAGAAAAACATCTAGTATCAGCAGTAACATTAATTCCACAAATGACAGCTATGTTCCAACATTTACACCACTGATTCTCAAGGGTATATCTGACTAGGAATGAAACCAAGATTTGAGGCGCTTAAAAATGTGCCATTTGATTTGAGACTGTATGTTGTGGAGTTTTTCAGAAGTATTTCATTCGGTGGGGGTAATTTTTAAAAAAATGTTATTAGTGAAACACCATGAGGCACAGTTGTAGACTTACACATTTTTGTGCTTCGGTTTCAATTATCAATGATCGAGTACCCATCCCTCCACCAGTGCCCATTTCCCACCACCACAGATCCCAATATCCCTCCCACCACCTTCCCCCCCCCCATCCTACCCTGCCTCTGTGGAAGGGCACTCCCTTTTGTTCTCTCTCTAATTTTGGGTGCTGTGGTTTGCAAAAAAGGCATTGAGTGGCAATCATGTTCAGTCTATAGTATACTTTCAGCATGCTTCTCAGGATGGGGGTAATATTAACATCCTAAGAACGACCTGTAGTTTACAAACAGGTCCTAACTGGTGGCCATCACACAGGGAGCTTTGCATCGATGCTCTCTCAATGAAGGACTGAAAATCACATCAATGAGTGAGAGAGCAAAACACCAGACTAGCGGGCCAACCAATAGGAAAGGAGGGATCACAGGAAGGAAAAAATTAGGAATGGGGTCACAGTTGGAAAAGGTGGAGAAATTCTGCTTTTTTTTGCGGGGGAGGTCATACCTGGCAATCTAAGGGGTTACTCCTGGCTCTGCACTCAGGAATTACTCCTGGCGGTGGCTCAGGGAACCATATGGGATGGCAGGGATCGAACCCAGGTTGGGCGTGTGCAAGGCAAACTCCCTACCCTCTGTACTATCACTCCAGCCCCAATAATTCTACTTTATCTTAAGCAACTGGCTGGATGACAAAGTTAAGCTCTCTCTATTCACTTCCAAGAAACTGAACGCAGGTTCAAGTGAGGGCAGCGTATACACCATAAATATGTGCAGGAATGTGTACGTACATGTTTACTTTGTTATGCTGCAGGTGAAGTTGAGCAGAACCGAACCATGATTATCACTGTGTACGCCTCTATTTACACTTCTTCTGTGATCAGAGATCAACATGACAGACTTTCACTAGCGTCAACATATTCTAAGTCAGCACCATCAGGACATGTGCTTGATGGACACCTGTTCCCAATCCAGCCCCGGAATCCACATCTCTCACAGAACACGGTTATTTGCACCCCACAGCTGTGATCCCTCCTTTCCCCATTGAAAGCCTGCCCTTTGTGTTGCAGTGAATACTAATTGGGCCACAGCAAGACTTGAAAATCTTTTTTTACCACTCCTGAACTATGGGAAAATGGTGCATCAGAGGCAAAAAGTAGGAAGGGTAAGAACCAATGAAAATGTAGCCAGTGTGCAAACTGACCTTTCCCCCCACAAAGCCACCCAATATGGCCTGAACAAGCCTACTTCCCAAGACTGTGTGGGGTAAAGGACAAACAATGATATCCTGCCAACAACCCCAGTCCCCCTCAAAAATCTGCCACATCATATAGACAGGCTGTATTTACTTCCCCCAATCTACCATGAAGCAAATTCCTCTCATAAACAAAGCATTGGTAGATTCCCCTCTTCATTGGACCATTTGCTCCACATCTTTCACCTCCACACCGTGTGGAATGCAGATGAATATTATTTGCTGATGGGGAGACATAGACACAAGAAAGCAAGTCTTATTTACAAAGAGAAGCCGTATTCCCGTTAATGAGGGCCTTTCAAGTCCACCCTTGGGAAGAATCAGACCAGGGGGAGCAGACCTGGGTCGCGTTTGACAGCTGCACTTGCTCAAGAAGCTGCCCCCGCCCCCCACAGCACTTTAAAAATCAGTATCCTGCCTAGGAGTTTAGGGCTCTTCAAACAGTGCAATCCAATTTCCTTTCACAGACTAATGTACCTAGTCAAGGAGGCCACTGCCTTTCAGCGTGGTTAGTTGGAGTGAATTTATTGAATAGCTGAAGCATCTCTATCAATAGCCCAGAAATATAAAACCTTTTTTGTTTTCCAGGACCTGAGATTCCTAATGGTGCTTTTATTAAAGTGCCAGAACCTGGGGCAGGAAAAGTAATAATGCTCTGAAGTGTTAGGAGCCCTGAAACCTAAGAAGCCAAGGCTCCAGACTGCATCCAGGTCTCCAGGTCATCCCAATAACTTTAGTCCCATTCTTGGCTCACCTGGATGGAGAAAATCCACCTAAGTACATCCAGCAGCAAGAGGGACTGACACCACTGGGGCTGGGCAAGGCATAGCACATACTCAGAGACTGTGTTTTGGTTCAAGATTATTTCTTTCAAACTTAGAGGAAAAAGGAAAGATAGTAGCTGAAATGGAATGAATCAGTTTGTTGAGAAAGTGATTGGGTTTACTTTTGTGTAATTTTATAAAAAGTTGAAACTTCCATGAACAAATCGACACCATTAAGGGAGGATTTGAGTGGAAATCCCCAGGAGTACGGGCATCAGGAAACCTGGATGGACACCCTATTTCTCCTCAGTCACAGCTGGAATGCATTTTGACCCGGAAGCAGAGCTTCACTTCACCAGGAAGCTATTTGATTCCGGGTTCCTTTGGAGAAGAGCACAAATTGTTTTTCAAGTAAAGTCTGATGTCAAAGATTATAAAATCATGCAAAGTATTTAGTTAGATGCACTTCAACCATACAAGCCATAACAGAGAATGTAAAGAACTGCAGATACACCACGGGTTAAAATCTAACAGCATAAGGGCCAGAGAGCTAGTACAGGGGTGCAGGTATTTGCCTTATGCTGCTGACCCTGCATAGATCCTGACACTGTGTAAGATCCCTTGAGCATTGCTAGGGTTTGTTCCTGAGCACTGAGCTAGGAACAGCCATTAGCACTGCAAGGTATGGCCCAAG